TTCCTGGAAACTTAGTAGAACTACGAAGTTCGCCGCCTCCCAGTCAGACCATCCCCACATCCACCTGCCAACTTGAGGCACGTGGAGAGTTACGGTTCCCCCGACTCCCCACACCCCAGCGTGCCCGTCCCCGGTACCGTGGGGGTTGTGGATAATTAGCGCGAGGATGAGGGTTCAGCACGCGACTGTTACACACTAGAGGCGGGCTGCCGATCCCCCACCTCGCCTGACGATAGCCCAATTCTCCGGCTCCGTAATGCATTGTTCACGGTCAACTCCCAGCCCTGTCCGGCCGGTACTAACTGTGATGGTGCAGGGGAAAAGTTTCGTTACACCTGGGCACGTTCATGTAACGGCTTCAAGATGGGACAAAACGGGGTTCTTAGACCCTGGTTAGAACTTAGAGAAGACTAGAGGACAGTAGAGCAAGAGACAATGGCATTGACATTGGCGAGAGAGCGGATTTTTTGAGAAGGCTTTTAGATTGGGCAAAGAGCTTACTAGTAGTTTGAGTGGCTCTGGAGTTGCAAAGAGCACACACACACACACACACACGCGCGCGCGCGCGCGCGCACACACACACACACACACACACACACACACATACACGCCACAAAAGGGCCATTCTTCTAAAATGTAATAACAGTACGCCCTTCTTTTAGTATCCTGCCTTTCTCTTGCCTTATTGGGCTAATAGGTCACCCTTCTATCCTTGAATCTTTCTCATCTCAGTGTACCAGTAAGTACTAACTTCAACCTACACGTTGCCTATATAAGGCCCGTGTCCGGTTCTTTGTCCCACCCGTGCGGCTTGCACCCCTACCCCGGTACAGGGCCTTGCGTGACGGGACCAAAGTGCTTGTCATATCTGGCGTTCTTTTCTTTGTTTGAAGTTACGATGACGAAATTTGCAGACGATTTTGTCCCAGGAATTGGTGCTTTTTTATCACATCAAAGAGCTTCAAAGCGAGTCTGTGTTAGTAGAAGGTATACATGTAGGTTACGTCTGTCTGTCTGTCTGCCTACGTAGCTACGTGCTTAGGTACTCAACCCTTATTCCCATCGGATGTACATGTTCTATTACTCTCCAAGCAGAGGTTGATGGGGAAGACTATGACCTACCTATGACTATGACAGAAAACGCAGCATATATAGAACGATCACAATCTTCCCCACCTTGGAAAGTAGTAGTACTAATGTGAAAAGCCTTCTTTCTTTAACTTTTGGATAGCATTACGTCAGAAAATTCGGTTCTGTCTGTTCCATGAATGTCGATACACATTGGGATAGTGTTCTTTCAACTCAGTATGTAGATGGGTGAATATTGACTTGAAAAAATATGGCTTCCAAGCCATAAAAACTGCATTGTATGGGCTTGGAAACCAGATTTTTTTAAAGTATTCTAGTCGCTTATCTACATACTGAGTTGAAAGAACACTATCCCAATGTGTATCGACACTCATGGAACAGACAGAACCGAAAATTTCTGACGAAAAACGGTTACTAGAAGTGTACAGAGTTAAGTGCGGAGTTCAGCCGGTTGCTAGTGCAAGATGTCGTCAGCCTTGCGTGACCAATGTGGCCTGATTGTGCCAAGTGTGAACACTCCCGACCTGGGACCTTATCTCCATTTCAAAGGCGAGACCGGCCGCCGTCATGTCTGTCCCGGGACGTGGGGCGGACGTGACCCCGTGTTCTTTTGTAGAGAAGTCCGGGAACTTTGATCGAACACAACACGGTAACACAGGTGTCTCATTCAGACATGTACAGGCAGGGCGGTTAGAGTCGGGCCCATATCGTATTTCTTAAGTCAGTAAAGAGGACAGGTTGTACGATATAGGCTTGACCCGTCAATGAAGGTTAGACATCCAGGTAATGAGATAAACTAGGAAATGGTTACTCAAGCAACGTGGAGAGATTTATTTTATTTATTTTTATTTATTGTCAGTTTGCACATAAAAAAGTAACAGTATAAAATGAAATTATATACAAGCAAATATATGCTGGAGAGCCCAAGAAACCTGAAGGTTTGTCTAGTGGACTCTCCCAAATCCTATTAATTTTACGATCTCTTATTTACATACATTTATTACATTTACATTTAACTTGCAATATATGTATTAAGGGACAAGCAAACAAATTAACTCAAAATAGGTACAAGATAATATAAAGTTAACACGGCGAATCAAATATCTAAGCAATAAAGTAAGACAATCAAGAACAAATCATATTGAACAAAAACAATAAATTTCCATTAGTCAAATCATAAGTTGTTATGAGTAAGAACAACATAAGAAACCAATATTAACACAAAGAAAATATCATAGCATAAGAAAACAAGGAAAACAAAAGCAAATCAGGAAGTGGTAGTTGGCTTCTCTATCAGGTCAGTTTTTAAATGTCTTTTGAAAGTTGGAAGGGATTGACAATTTTGCTGTGAGTGACTTAAACTGTTCCAAACTAAGGGGCCTCTAAACATTATCGTGAACTGTTTCATATTTGACTTTGTCAGGATTGGCCTTAAATCATTTTGCTTTCTAGTACTGTAACTGTGGATATCTGAGTTGTATTGAAATATGTCCTGAAATTGAACTGGTAATTGTGAACTTTTATGTAAAACTCTATGGACAAAAATTGCTGTTTGGAGTTTATTTATGTCATACACTGTTAAAATTTTCAAGTTGTAAAATAGAACCGCAGAGTTAGCAAAAAATGGAACATAAGACGCGATCCTAACAAAGCGCTTCTGCAGCTGATGCAGCGGACGGATTGAAAACTGTGAGACGGTTCAAGTAGCATCCACTAATTACCAACGGTGACTAAGTCTCGAAATTGGCAGTGGATGCTACTTGAAACGTCTGACAGTTTTCAAAAGCTACTTAAGCCTTTTAAAGTTTTAAACGTCCTGGTTGACCATTCATGTAAGTAGAGAACTTAAATGTTTTCTCGTTATGAGACACACAACTTATATTTTGGTCAAAAATTGGCAATATTGATACTTAATGAAGGACACACACCTACCTACCTACATACGATCACACACGCACACTTTAATTTGCCGTTCTACTTTCTCGTCAATGAATGAATGACAGGTTAACGACGTGCACTTAAGGGTTATTGTCTTCTTCCCCTACAGACTAGATAGCGATAGCACTGTCATTCAGTAAAAGTTGCTACAATACAGCCAAGTGAACCAGTCAGAATTAAAGTGAGGAAGGTGACAGACGGTCACTGAAACGTTGGCTTAAATAAACCTCTTGGACGTGTAAAAAGGGTCTCTTTATTCAGTGACTTACCAACCTGCCTATAGAGAAGTCTGCTAACCAATGCTAATTCAACGGACGTAGAGCGTAATTGGCGCATCTTGCGTAGAGCGTATTCGCCGTTTTAATTCTACGTAGTGCATTGTAGCCACTTGGCATGTGGGGCATAGTCAATTTCTACTGGCTGGTAGTTTTTGTTTTTCCCACCCCCCAGAATGTCCCAGAAGCTTGCTGACAGCTCCAGTCTCCGCTGTACAGACTGTAGAGCCGAGACTGTGACGCAGTCTTGTCTCCCTGCCAGCCTCCGTAACGTTAGACCTGAATTACTACAGGCAAGGTCACATTATACCGGGGCTGAGTCAGGGGGAACGGATAGACCGTAATTACACTTACAGTTACTTCACTTCTTCTTCCCGCCAAATCTGAGCTAATCTGTACTGAATATTGGTGGATGGGAGGATAGACATATATAGCCTGGTTGCCAGCAGACCCACAGCGCACTAGACCAAAAGTTATCTTGTGTGCAAACTGGTTAGCCTCTACCAGGCTTCGGGAGGCGGCAAAATGTTCTCTCCCAGCAGACAAACTCCCCTTGCATGTTATCTCTCTATTTGGCCGATTTCTACTCTTTTTAGCCGCATCCCGAAGCCTGGCAGAGGCTACAAACTGGCCCCCAACTGTGGAATAACCTGTCACTGAAACAACGTAAGACTTTGGGATTGGTGAAATTCAGTCAGGAATTGTGATATGAACGTATAGAGTTGAAAATTCTTTTGTTGTACAAAACATGTATGTCATTTTGGATCGTAGGTGTTCTTGTAATACTGTACAGCCTGTTATTTTGTACTTTGTATGCGCAGCATTGCCTGAACAACAGGTTTTTGTATACCTGAGTGTAGTTGCTGGTGAAATAAATAAACTGAAACTGATAACTTTTAGTCTAGTGTGCTGTGGGTCTGGCACCCAGGCTAACAGAAACGGTTTGGTGCAGTGAGGCCAGGAGAAGAGACTAGGGAAGACAGACTCGGAGGCGTCTGCCGGCGGCACGGCTGCCTGTGTCAGGTCAGATTAGGAACATCTTCGTGAGAAGAACCACGTAGTATCAGTCGTGTAGAACATCTAGTTAAGTTGGTGATCATGAAAGCAATCTGCCAACGACATGACCAAATGGACATGGGATAAAGTATGTGTGGGGAGGGGGGCGAACTTGACTCTTGTGCGTGAGCTTAGAGTGCGAATGCATCTGTAAATTTGGCAAGTCTTCAAATCAAATATTTTCCACGCTTAAGACAACAATTACATGACAAGAGCCTCAGTCTTCAGGGCAAATTATTGGAAAACTCGAAATCAAAAATGCGCATATCGTTTTGGGAAATTGGACCATTTTTTTTGTGAAAAATAAAGTGTGTGTGACTCAACTAGAAAAGAAATGTAACGTACACGAGTATGTAAGAAAACACACAATTGGAAACATTTATTTCTAACACGAAAAACAGTGGAGCTAGAAAATCAAGTATATACAGCATATGTACAAATAAAGTTTACATTCAACTCCGAAGTCCTTCACAACATCACGTCATCTCTCGCGAGACTTCACAAAAAGCTTTCGACAACACCAACAACACGATGACTTTTTCCCATAATAATTGCTTCTCTCAAGTCCATCTTAAGTTCATTGGAAATGTACACATGGTCCCCGGTGTCTCTTTTCTTGGATGTATGGCAGTCCCCTGTCTTTCATCTGGCTGTGTTACTGTTGCTCGCGTTGTTGTTCTCCTCGCCCTCTATGGTTGAAATACTCTGCACGATGAGAGACAAACAGTCTAGACTGGACACGTTATTCCCGCACGACTGGCTCTCGTAACCTGGGGACGAGAACAGGAAAACTTGGGTCAGATCAACAAATCATTCTTTTTCTGGCTTAATTTTTTTGCATTGAAGAAACAATACAAACACAAAGACAAAATTGGGCTGCACTCAAGTTATACACTTATTTTAACAGCCCAACTTGACAATTAACTTAAAACGATTTTTTGACTATTTTTACACTTATTTTAACAGCCCAACTTGACAATTAACTTAAAACGATTTTTTGACTATTTTTAATGTCGACTAACTCTTTACACATAATTCAAAACAATAACGTTTAAGTCTGAGTAATCATGATTAATCTATTAACATATCTACAGTGCATTTGGACCCCATTTTAGGTTGCTTCCTTATGGGTCAAAATAAAGCAATAAGATGAGTAAGTAACTGTGATCTCTTACTAATAACGATATTATGTCATGGTGCCAGAACGTGTATCTGAAAGTATTTTTTACTGGTGACAAAACTACGGGCAATTTCCATTTACCGACATCTCCATAAATACTGATGACTTATGAGTGAATATTCTGGAAGTGATGCACCGTTTCAGCTTTCAGCGTCAACAATAATTAATATTGCTATTTCCTCTCACCAGCACTCTATTCTTCAGTTATTGTCTTAACGAATTACATATATTTTGATTCTAAAATGTGTACAGCTTAAATTTGCAATGGTGCAAAAAGAATGGACGTGAACTATTGCCTTATTGTCTGTAGAAGCCCGTTTTGAAGGGTGCGTTATTCTATAGCCTGTGTATTTTTAGCCAGACCGTAACCCAATAGTTGGTATCACGCTGCGGTACATGTGCCTGCTTACGCTATCACTTTCAATTACAAATCACTTTGCAATGTTATGGTCTTTAAAACAGCTTCATCAACTAAAATGTATGTTTTATGAAAGTTACAGCACTAAGCGATGCTCTAAGTAGTGAAATATCCACTATGTGAGGTTTTGTTTAGTAAATATAAAACTCATATCGTCCAACCAATGCAGTGGTCAACTACAAGTACGTAACATACACTTGGCTACGTTCCATAACTATAAGAGAATATGTTCTATAAGTTATACTCATGCTGGGCATTTCTTACGTTTTATGGAAGTTATGGCCTACTTGTATTTAAAGTCTTGATAGAAAGCTTTAGTTTGGGTGACAGATCAGTAGAAAAAGTATCAAAACGCCCAGCTTAATGCTAACTTCAAGACAAACTTCTCATTGGGACAGCAGAAAGAGAGATTCTATGAAAGGAGCGGCCATGTTTTCTGTAGAAAGATATCAAAGATGGAGGATTTGCTCACCGTTCCCAGGTTGGCCGTCAGCTTGTTCCCAGGACGAGTTCCCGGATGTGTCGGTACAGAAACTTCGCGGACTGTGGGCGGCCTACATGGACGAGAAAAAGAAGAAATCATGAACAACGTTAACTACTACATGTACGCTTGTGTGTATACAGAAGAAAGGCGTCTATGCATATGTGTAAGACTGCCGAAGTAGTGATTCAATTGCATGCTACCTAGAAGTACTTTAGGTAAATCTCACTCAAACAACAAGTATCTTTATGGAGTTACTTTACGTAGTCTGTGAGCGTGTATTTGTATGTGTGGCCAAAATGTAACAAGCGTCAAAAGCAATTAAAGTACAGAAATCTGGATCTTCCTATTTTGTCTACCCCCACAAGACAACGGCACGAGTATTCGGATCGCCAGCAGAAAGGGTACTTCTAGTATCAGTTTACATTCAGTCTGGGGTCAGACAGTGGAGTTTCCTACAGCCGAACCTGAACACGGATCATATTTTACCTTCCCTCTCGTCCATTTATACACGATTCTGTCACCACTAACCCTGGTAATGACTGCTGCTGCCATGGGACAACATTGTTTTTCTTGCTAATTAAATTTATCTGCAGTACAGATTGAAAAGTTACTGGAGCAAAGTCGTGCAGGGGAGTTGATAGCCTTGGGGCGCGGGCCCTGCTGACCCCACTTGGAAACACGACGTAGGTTTGTGTAATGAACAACAGATGAGATGAGAGCAGTGGACAGCAGTAGTTCAACGTTCTGTCTAGTCTCCACCATACTCCTTTTGCAGGCTGAATAAATCGTAGAAAGCGGTCTAAAAAGGTGATATAATTCCAGTAGGGTTAAATTGGACCCTCTATGGCTGCGAAACTCCTCTGGTCAATCATATCCCATTTTTAGACCGATTTCTACGATTTATTCAGCCTGCAAAAGGAGTCTGGTGGAGACTAGGTTCTGTCTGTGTGAAGCTGAAATCCCACAACTACCCACGGACGGAATCACGTCATTAGGAGCCGATTATCAGGAGTAGTTATCAGATCTATCTCATTGCCATTTTCGGACGAATCAGTCGGAGTAAAAATGGAGCGAGGCTGGGAGAATGAAGCGATAGTAAGACCCAGATAAAGGCACCAGACGTCATATCATATCTGCGTCATAGATGCTTCTCTCATTTAGTAAAACTGCTATGGGAAGTTTTCCCTCCTACGCTTTGCCATAAAGAGACACCGATGTCATGCGTTTTCAGCGTACATATATGAAGGGCTAGTCATTATTCAAGAAATGTGAAGAACCGTAAACGTTTTGTGTTCATACAGTAGCGTTATGACAAGCGTCAATTTGAATAAAGTACATTTGGTGTGTATACATACATCTGTAAATGCCCCACTGTGGATGATCGCAAAGTTTCGGAAGCTTCTTTATCGTCAGGATTGTTAACTAATTATACACAACGGAAGTCAGGCCTGACAAGCGGGATAACGAGTCGTTTGATCTCGGGTTGGTTCTGATCGGTCCCTGTCCGGCGTCTAACAACATGTAAACGGGCGGGGAGGACTCACCATTCCGTCCGAGCAGGACCCGGGGCTGGGGGCGGAGGCGTCCGACACCTCTCCCGAGGAATTCTCCTTGCTGTCCCGCAGAAGTTTGTGGAGCTGCTCGATGTAGGAGATGGCGTTGCGGAGGATTTCAACCTTGGGGAGCCTCTGGTTCGGGTTGGCGCACGATTTCTTCTTCAGAATGTCGAAGGCCTCGTTGACTTTGACCAGGCGACGCCGCTCTCTCATGGTGGCTGCCTTTCTCCTGTCGATGGGGACCGTCTTCTTCTTGCACGCCTTGCAGGCCCAGAGCAGACAGCGGCCGGGGCCGTGGAAGGAAGGGCCCGGGGCCAGGACGTGCCCGTCCCCCTGGTCATCGTACGAGCCGTTCGGGACGGGGAAGTGCTCGCCCGGCAGCACCGTGGCGTTGGGAGCGGCCGGACGGTCGCAGAACGTCGGCGTCGCGTCGAACCTACAGCTGCTCAGCTCCACAAACTCCATCCTGGCCTGCTGTCTTCAGAGTCACCCCTACTCCAAGTTTAACGCTGATGGGAGTGATGTTTTTGAAGTGTCAGAGAGCAAGTGATGCACAGGAACACTCACCGCTCAAACAAGGGCACATGTATGTTGTTAGAGGATACGCCGGGTGCTAATATACCCGCTTTCCTCCAAACGGGGGCAGTGCGGCGGCCCCTCCCACTCGCCTGACCTATGAATATTCATACTCCCGATTTGGAAACACGGTCCCCCCTCTGGGAACCCAGTCGGGATGTGAGTTTTCTCGGTAGGACCTCGTTACCCCTACCGAGGAGAATCGGCGCTGCGAGCCGGGCCCGACTTGGGTGGCACCGCGGGTCACATCTCCGCTGGAAGTAAGGATGCGTCAACGGTGTCTGCAGAAACATCTGCACAGTACAGAGATTCTCTAACGTAGAGAATGTTTTGCTTACAGTTTAACACCGTATGGTATACCTTATGAAATATACGCATCATGTTGCATAAAGGCTTGTTTGTTTTCTTAGTGCAGAATCAGATTTAGGTCACGAACTTATTCACAAGAAAAGTAAAAGAAAAGTTCTTATATGGCAATTTCCCACATGAAGTCTTCTCTCATCTTGAAGTCGTCCACTGCCCCTCCCCCTCTTAAACACGTCACGGTACCTGTACATGAAAGGTTCGGAGATTTTCAATGATGATGCAAAAACCTGAGGGATAGACTACCAGCACTTGGCTTTTACATCTTAAATGTGTTAGTACAGATATATATTTGAAGGATGAAGAATTGTCACCTTTGAATATAGTTTGCAGTATACAGAAACAGACAATTTACCTCAACTGCGTGTAAAAGACTTTAATAAAAGATAGTTCAAAACAACGACAGTTTTAAATTTGCTATTTTCCTGGCTTTTATTTCTAACAAGTTTTTTTTTTCGGCTGACTGTAGTCGATATTGATTTTGATTTTTATATGATAGAAAGCACATTTTTCGAACATGGCAGTAAAACTTTGGCAAGCAAAAAGAAAACAAACTTGAAGTATGCGTTGAACGTCGTTTGAGACCGGTCAACTAAACGTCGTTTGAAAATGACGTCACGCTTCTGGTGACCCCCATGATCCTCAGGGCGGTAAGAAATAAAAGATCCGCCATGCTGGGACAAGAACTTCTAGCCACGAGAAAGAATTTCCATTTAAAAGGCCCTCGCCGGCCGCCAACATGTCTGTCCCCGGGATGTATTTGCCAGCCGGGCGTTTATGCCACCTGGACCAACCGAGGAAAGAAATAACAAAAATACAAATATCACGAAAATATGTGCTGGGGACAATACAATATTTTACACACTAAACCTTTAGTAGGAAGCCATCAATGTACCTCAATAGGTTTGGTTGGGTTTTATTTCAACGTAACATTGTAGCGCATATACCCTTGTAGTTGTAATAGGTCTGACTTGGCTATTTCTCATATGGCCAATACGACACTGTCAGCTCACACTCCAAAATACTAAGAGTTGGTTTTACCAAGGAGGTTCAAGCTTTATGACAACAAACTTTCCGTGTTGAACACTCACATGTGTCTCATCACTTCAAGCTATAATGACTCACATGAAAACAAACTGGGCCATCTTGGGAGACTTTTCTTGTAAAGACTTGACCATCTGTTCTCTCAGTTTGCCCGTTTGTTAGTTACGGTGCTCGTTAAAATCTCATCCTCTCGTGCTGCTGATGAGTTTATTAGCTCCATTACCGCGAGCTACTTAAAACCGGATTAACACAAAGGCGAAAATAGCTTTATCCCGCTAAATCTCTTGTTCTGTTGGTTGTGCTAACTGGTTCTCAATACACACAGAAAGTCGGAAGTGTCGGGGCGGTGTGAATCACTATTATCTGGCAGATCTCCACTTAGCCCAGAAGTGACAATCGTTTTCTAATGATGTCACTTTGTCAGTGCGCGCCAAATCCTGTCCCTCAGTGCTGGTAAATGTGATTTAAAACGGTAGGTTTTCTCTGGAAGAAACTTCCATTCGCTTTGTCATCACTTTTCTCTATCTGGGGTGAAAGAAATAAGGCGATTTCAAGAGTCTTGCGTGTTTGCTTGTCTCAAGTTCTCTGCGAAGTAAAAGTGAGTGACGTTCGGTATCTGTGTCGGCATCTTGAAGACAGAGAAAGTGTTGATGATTTTTCAACGAGCCGGTGTTTCAATACACAGCCAGGGGTCCGGGACACACACATAGATAACACACACACACGGCTACTGTCGTATGGACACGAGAAATGGACGCTTCCATGATGGATTTCTTTGACAGAGAAACTATCGAAGCCTTCACAGAATGTGCAAGAAACAAACTTTTCTGACCCTGGATAAAGATACAATTTTTATGTAGGATTATTGAAATTTCTAATCCATCATGTTAGCTCGATCAATGAATTGTTTGTTGTCTTATGCTAAAACTGAATATTTCAGTAGCAGCTGTATAAAACGCTTCACACACCATTGAATGTAGATTAAAGCAACAACAACAAAAACAAAAACAAAGCTTTCAGCCTTGGCATCTTGCTTGATATAAACTAAAACCTAGTCTAGAAACCTGTCCTATTCCTTTGTTCAACGAAATGTGTAGGATATCATATGATATTCTGTAGCTACATTTGGTGGCATAAAAAGCATGAATTTTTTCACATCGGCTTTCATAATAGTTATAACTGCGGCATTTATTTCACGACTGTGGTAATATTCTTTGTATTATCCTTATACATGTACAGAATGTTTAATAGTTTGACTGTCCATGCGCCCGTTCGTCCAAAAGCCATTGCAGAAGAAATTGCATAGCAACAGACAGTAGGAGCGGAAACCGAAGACCCTCTGCTATCTCTGGGGTGTGGTACCGTGCCCAGGAGAACGACACAGGACCCGGGCTCCTCTTGTTCATCCACGCGACTTGCGGGCTTCCATCCACCCGGGGGACGGGCACGTATAAGGCCGTCCTTTGTCCGACCAGCCCGTCGACGCGTGCCACTTGCCACAACTGCTCACTCCGAGAGCCAGGGTCAACTTCAACTGTCGGCATGTGTCGTGCAGGGGGCGGGCGACATGTTGGTCGCGGTCACACAAAAATAAGAAATGTATTTTATCCATGCACGCTACAACAGCAAGAAAACACCCGGCACGAATTGCGCGCATTCTTACAAGTACATTCTTATGACGTTCATACATATACATTCTTATTACACAATAGTAGTAGAAAACGCAGAATACCTTAATAGTTTATGGTATGATAAAAATGAATTTATGGATAACACGCCCTATAATCACAAACATTGCCTTGGTGTAATCGTATCTAATATCACCTCTTAAAATAAGTTACTTTTGTTTATATTTCGTCGAAAAACACAAAAGAAAAGTGCATTCTCGAGGCTCCTTTCTTTATTTGGAGTATAATGAAAACCTCGCAACGTTTTCTTCAATAAAACTTGCCTTTGAAAACCCCCCTTGATTATCAATGCTCAAATATTCTGTAAATTCATTGTTCCCTAAATTGTATCATTCAGGTCTATTTAAACGAGGAAATTCTATCATTGATATCACCTCCTTGATATGACAAAACTGCATCACCTAGCGGTGAAACTGGGGTACTGCAGTGACGTTAGACTTGTCCCATCCATCTTGTCCTGAAGCGCAGCATCGCGCCTAGAGCGTGGCATCTCAGGGGAGTGATTTGTCGGTAGGATATTGGAACAGTTGCCCCGAAAAGGTTTGGACAGGGCGCACCGTGCAGCTACCCCGAACTCTCCGAGGGAAGAAACACTTGCGCCCGATCGGACCGAGTTACTGAGAAAACAAGCCGACCGATTGTTTAAAGTCCAACAAAGAAATCAGCTGGTGATTTCAGGCTGCAGCTGGACGTGGTTTTAAAATTGGCTTTTAAAGGGAAAAAGGAGGTTTAAAGGCGATTATAGAAGACCTTCTGTCACTCAAATCCATTGGTATTTCATTTCAACTTATTTGGGCAGATTTTGACAATCTCCTTGGCTGAAAATTGCAATGGTTCTATCTTTGAACGTTCCCACAAATGTACGAATGTACAAAGTAAAGAACTTCGCATTTTGTTAATGATACAAGCTCTTAGTAGGGGTAACAAGTTGAGAGGTAGTTTCCGTATCTAGGAAAGGAAGTACCATTTATGTCAGTCTCACACCAAAATCAGCCTTTTATGCCTTCATGGCATATATAAAAATAGTGCCTTTATTTAGGACACACCTTCTATTGGCAATAAACGTATTGTACCTTCTTCAAAGTTTCAGAGAACGATTTATTATGTACATGTACGTATTGTGTTCTCTGTGTTCATATATTTTGCACCTAGGATTTGTTTGTTGTACCTGCAACCTTCATATCATAACCGAAGAATCATTTCGCCAAACTGAAGACTGAATTTCAGCATACTACAGCTAGTATGTAAAGTTTCTCACTTTGAGAGTACAAACAGCACTATAGCTAGTGCAGTGCCACCAAGTTTGCGCGTGGGTGGACGGACCGTATGTAACAAGACCTAACACCTGTGAAAAGATTTATGACTAGTCTGTAGAACTAGCTAGAAACATACTTAATCATGTTGTGAGCTTTTTCTTATTTTACTGTTTGAGATTTGTCAAGTATCGGGTCTCGGGTCGTCAAGTATCGGGTCAAGTACAGTAACTATTAGTAATCAGTTCTTCTCTAACTTATTAGACTGGTCTAGCTTTTCTGAACTGACTGTATCTTATTCTCAGTCTGAATAGATCCAGTGATAGCTTTACTAGCATGTCAACTCTATTACTACTCTGGACACCTGTAACTATCAACTAACTTAAGTCAGACGACACCATAGGATACTTTTCTCAGATATTTTATTACAAAAATAGATTCATAATGACAAACAAATTCACAATTTTTTCGATGACATTCTTGCACAAGTCGCACATGGTCAAAATGTCAGATTTACGGATATAAAGTGACGATTTTAGTGACAGTCGAGTCTGTCGTACGTGGAATTACAAGGAACGGAATCGTTTGGTGTTTTTTTCGCCGCCATCTTGGTCGTTCGGCCATGACGTCACTGCAGGTGAGTGTCGGGAAGGGCGATGCTGTTGACGATGGACGACAGGTTGTCCAGACTGGTGCCGCCCTGGTCACTGGACATGCTGGACAGGAACTCTGTGTAAGGGACAAGTGGATGGAAGACATGTTATAGAAACTGCAAAATTCTGTTGTCTTCATCTAGTCTATCAGAGCCTGATAGTGTACTACGTACAAATTCACGTAGGTAAAAATAATGAGAATGGGTTCATAAAAAAACTTAGTAGAAATTTTACAAATGGTATATCTGCCAGAGCAGTTAGTCAGCCTAAGTACCTAGGAGTACAATTGGCAAACGGTGGGAGGGTGCGGCTACTCTTTATCGACTCTAAGCCAGTCTCGTCACTTTCGACCTACCAATATCATGTTCTTCAGTACGCCGAGGTGAAGACAAAAACGCTGAGGCTTTACTTTTTTCATGTAATCTCTATGAATGATGGACACGCAAGACTCTATGAATGAGATTACTGTACTCAAATGTTCTTGTCACAATTCAACTTCCTTACTGAATAACGTGTGATGTATAAGATGACAAGACCTACCGGTGAACAGGTCTGAAGACGGGTACATGTCGTCTGTCCAGGTGAAGCTTGACTCTGAAGACGAGCTGGCAGGACTGTTTAAATCCTGGAAGAAAACATTCAACAAAACGTTACTTTTCTGTAACTACGTATACACCACTGGCATAGCTAACAGTTCGTTATTTTAGTGACTGAAAAACACAAGTATGATATAAACTTTTCTACTGCCCTATGTGTTTGTGCCGGTTAAGGGTGTGGCAGAATCAAAACCTTATAGTATTGACTAGTAAGGTGTTCTAAAGTCTGTGTTTGGAATCCGCATGATCATGACAGTTATTCTACTGAGGTAAGGCGATCTCTGGAATTTCAGAAAACAAAGACGTGCCAAGTCAGCTTTTTTTTAACAAATTCAGAAAGGCTGCCCAGCGATTGCATGCTTCATTACAAAGTTAGAAGATGCAGAAAAAGGAGGATGGAGAAACTCACCATTCCGTCGGAGCAGGCCCCGGGGCTGGCTGCGGGAGAGTCGGCGCTCTGTCCCGCCGAGTTCTCCTGACCGTCCCGTAGAGTTTGGTGCAGCTGCTCGATGTAGGCGATGGCGTTCCGGAGGATGTCCACCTTGGGTGTCTTCTGGCTCGGCTTCATGTGCGTCTTTCTCTTCAGCACCTCGAACGCCTCGTTCACCTTGACGAGCCGCCTTCTCTCCCTCATGGTGGCGGCCTTCCTCCTGTCCTGTCGGGACGCCTTCCTGCTCCGACACGTCTTACAGGCCCACATCAGACAGCGCCCAGGCCCGTGAGCAGACGCCGGCGGGACCGGGACGTGCCCGGCCGCTTCACCGTAGCCTCCGTACGGTTCCATCGGGGCGGGGACCTGCAGGCTGCCGAACATGTCCTGCCCTTGGTCCGGTGTCTGTTGGTAGGACGTGTCGAACTGGAACCGACAGCTGCTCAGCTCTGTGTAGTTCATCTTGAAGAAAGTGTGGAAGATCAGACGAAGTGTTGTCAACAAGAGTCCACGTGTGAGTTTAAAGGAGGGCAGGTCTGGCTTTATATCCGTAATCCTCAGGCTCCTCCTTACAAGGTGTTGAATATTCATGAGGTGTGAAGTCGGACGGCGGTGTTCCCGCTGGACAGCCGATCGGACGGCAAAGCTGGCCCGGTAGGACATCGTTCCCCCGCCGGTAGGGGAAAATCGCTTCGTAAGAGACCAAGACCGACTTGGGTGGCAGACCGCGATCGCAGGACACAGAAAAAAAATGACGCTGTCTTAAATAAGGATCACAACAACACCTATTTACTAAAGATAAAATACTAGTACCTCTCGACGCACATGTACGCCCATACTGGTACAAAACTTTGTATTATAAAACTTTAAAAGAGACAGTCCTCTTTTTAAGTTTTTACACCTTCCTCAGGGCAATTCTAACTGGTTCTCATTGCACAGAAGCACAGGTGTCGCTGTTTTAGGTGCTACAAAAGAATCTTTTTATTCAGTTACGTACTAACTTGATGAAGCTATTCACGGATATATGCTCTTACAAGTATAGTTTATAGCAATAAAGTAGTTCTGGGTACTGTCCAAGCAGAGGTTGATGTTAGAAGATCGTTTGCTTTCTATATATGGCCCTTTTTTTGTCGCTACCACCACCAATTTGATACTGTCTTTGCAGCCACCGAAAGATCTGTTCGGATATTATTTTCTCAAAAACATAAACCTACACAGTATTGTCACTTGACGTATCTAGCTTTCTCTACAGGAGAATGTAGAGAATTTTCAGCATGTTGAAATCACATCTTCCCCCCGTCCTGTCGTGAGTAGGGAGAGAACATGTCACGGGTCCTGCACATGAAAGGAGCGGGGCTTCTGTACTCGAGTGTGGCGTGTGGGGGGGAGGGGCTGTTCAAAAGGCCACGAAACCACCGCCAACATCTTACTTCAATTTGTGAAAATTAGGTCAGCAAAACGGTTTCAGAGTCGTCTTTTAAAGCACGGTGCAGCACATTTCATTATTGAAGTCAACCAACCAGAAATACCTTCATTTATTTATTTGCCTAAGCTTCGTTTTTCTTCCGTTTAAAACACCATATATGGACTACCCGCTATAGATACAACAGCGCCTCTTGCGGGTATTTCCATATTGCAACGCAGACCGTTTACTGTACGTGCATGGATCTAAATAATAGTACTTTAGCGATGTTTGACATTTGGCATTTTGAAACCCGGCTTGACTAGAATACAGTTGACGGTTAGAGGTTGTACGAAACCAGCATGTACTTGACCCATCCACGACCCCATACCCCCTCTCACCCCCGGTCTCACCCCCGGTAAAAGGGTGAGTGATGAAAGCATCATCACGCTGAGAGAAGAATTTTCGCCTCTCGCTTCCCGGCTCGAGAGAATTTCCATGTTAAAAGGCTCGCCGGGCGCCGCCATGTCTGTGTCCGGATGTGTTCCCCAGACGGTACGGTCTGCACCTGGACACGACCGGGTCAATAAAAACTGACACAGATGTACGCGCCTTTCTGTCTTTCGCTCATTTTATGACCCTGCAAGATGCAGCTTCTTTCCAACAAAATTTAAATAAACACTAACAGGTTGAATTTTAGCCCTAGTAGCGTCTTAACGTTAAACAGGTAATTCAATGGTTACTTACACACTGCAACTAGTAATCGTCCATCGTTCTTTGGATTAGTTAGGAATGTATACCTAGGATTTGCTTTGAGTCACCTGTACCATTGCACTGTGACCCACTGTATGTCGAAGTAGCTAGAAACCAGAAATCTTGTTTGGGTTTTGGAACCAAGACCTCAGTTTATTAATTAATGGTTAATTAATTGGCTTGTGCACAGTTCGGATATGAGAGATAATTGGTTGACGACGTTATCTGAGAAAATCTGTGGTTCCCATGGATGTGTGAATCGGTTTTCGACGAGGTCAATATTTGTGTTACATCAGGGGGCAGGAAGGACCACACCGTTAGCGGGGATACCAGGCTGTTTCCAGGGGATACACAGACTATAAAACTCTAGCCTCCACCAGGCCTTCCTATAGGGGTACGGATCGTAGGATTCGGTAAAAAAAAAAGGGAAATAGTTGGCCAGGAGAGTCAGTCCGCGAGAGGGGTAATTTCCCCCTCTGAAGGCAAATGAACTCTACGCTCCCTAAACTCCCCTAGTCCCTATTATATTGGCTAAATTTTACTTTTTCCTGTGTCGCTCTTTGTTTCAGATGTTGCAATGTACATCTATAGAGTAGAGGGACTTATATGTCTAGTCCTTTTGAAGACTTACATGGCCTTCTCTACAAGGCTACCGGGCCATGAGAAAGACATAATCCATGGGAAAACTATTAAGTCTTCTGGGACCAACTTTTCTTATTTGGCGAACTTCTGTGTCCGTTCAGTCGGCCTCACGGCGGCTCCAGGACCGGGTGACGCCCGGCGGCTTTCAAGTCAACTCACCGTGAAAGTTTCTCACACTCCCGTGCAGAGGAGTGAAGACCGTCGGTAATGAGAACACGATGTTTGTCCTAGAGAACGTCTGGCGACTTCCTTGTGTGGCTGCCTTGATGAAGTTATGAGAAAGTTACAGCTGGAAGAATCCCACGACACTGAGAATTGGGAAAACAATGAGTGCGTATCCCAAAGGATCGCGCCATACAACTTCAGCCATTAGTAGAAATCGGAAAAAAAAGAATAATGTAGCTGGCCAGGAGAGGTCCAGTTTGCCAGCTACATTCATTTTATGCCGATTTCTACTATTTATTCATCCTGCAAATAAGTCTGGTGGAGACTACTACAACTTGAGCATATACAGCAGTTTGACTTTAAAACAAACGACGTTTTAGGGGTCTCATATATAGCAACTGCTGCACATATGTATATGATGTATAACGTTACATATAGGTCGCCTTGTCCTTGTGGTGGGGTAGACATGGCTTTCCGAAACGTTGTGCAACGTTAACATCATATGAGTTCTTTGTGAGTCAAAGGGAAATCTAAGGGGGCCCGCAAGCCCTTTTCCGTAGAGCGTAATCGGCCGTTTTAATTCTACGTAGAGCGTAGATGGACCGCTCTAATATTTTTGCGTAGAGCGTATTCGGCGTTTTAATTCTTCGTAATGCGTTGTAGCCACTTGGAATTTATCGTAAAGCGTAATCGAGAGCTTTCCAAATTCAGCGTAGAGCGTTGTCGGGACACCCCCCCCCCCTTGCAGGCCCTCATCTAACCTTCCTATATCTATTCATACTTCCAAAATGCTTATGGCTGTTACAATATATCAAGTTTCCAGTCGTAGTGTTTTACAAGTTTTTCTGTTTCGGAGTTGGTATTATTCGTACCTGCAATTAACGAGCTTTCAAGATGTTTTCCTTTTAAGCTGCCCTTAATCCAATCCATTAGGATTAAGTGGTCTTAAGTCCTTATTAGGGCATGCGTGAACTTCAGACGACTAAACCGACTTCCGAGGTCAGATTTTGATCGGTCTTTATTATGATATCTCAGATTACGATCTGTGATATCGATGACGCCTTGTCTTGTTAGCGGTAAGTAGAGATATCCTGTATTGATGACACCACAGGGTTATCTCTTGGGAGATACAGCGGAACAAAAGATAGCAATGGCTCTTTTAACGATCTACTTACTTCAGTAATAACAACTACCAATCAGTATTAAGTGTCTAGTAACTCAAGCGAAAGAAACACGTCAAGTTTGAACGATTACTAGAATGTGGAAAAATTGTTATAATGTTTTGAATATGATTCGATGCTACAATCTTAGAGGCTTGAAATAACCATGAATATGTTTCTGTCAAGGAATTCCTGTAATTCTATAAAAAGTCGCAAAATGTCGCTGTCGAGCTGGTCTTCTCCGGAGGCTGTGACATCGATCACCATTGATGGCGTCATATGAGAACAAGGCCCGTATTATAGATCTTCTTAGATAAAAAAAAAAGTATATATAGAATAGTTCATTAACATTCAATATGTTATCCGGTCATTGAAATCCAGTCAAAAATCCAGAAAGACAATAACAAAAATGATATTGTATTGGTGGATGTATATGATCGCCGAACTCTATTTCAATATCTGTAGCTTTTTGCACTACACATTTTCAACCTACAAGTATCATATTTTCACCAAAGCATAGACGAGGGATCACAGGAAGTAAAGAAACCCCCGTTGCCTTGACGACACCTACGCAACACAGTGTGTATACTGTACAGGGTTGACAGCACTAGACCTCTCCCCATTGGAAACATCTGGATCTGGACTCGAGTTCAAATATTTGAGGTTATCAACGACAAGGGAACTGCAAACTCCCGGTGGGGTGACTCTGTTTCCTCTGCAGTTTTGGTGCAGATCTAGACATTCGTGAGGCAGAGAGGGGAGGTTTTCTTTGTAGAAATGTTGGCAAAATTCTGTCTTGTGTGTTGTGTGCTGTGTTTGGTGGAGAGTCGTAATGTTCCAGAAAAGGTGAGCGTCTAGTAGCACACTTACTAACTGTTGTTACGCTTCTAAACTGTTGCGTGTTGTGATAGGCTATTTGATAGCTTCATGATAAGTGTCGACAATCAACATGGGGGAAAACATAGTCTTAATTGTCCACCAAAACCGCAACAACAACGAAGTGCTGTGTGGACTTAACCTAAGGGAATAGTTAAGAAGGGTTTGACAATTGTAGGGCATTTCTGACGGCCGAAGATCGTGCATTTGTATATATATATATATACGGTGTGGTATGCTACGCACTTGTTTCAGTGAATATACTAGTACGTGTCTTTTTAAGTTCCACATTTGCATGCCTTTCGATCTTTTCTACCCCCCCCCCTCGTTCCATTCCTACTATCATGATATCTTGATTGTAATCCTAGTACAGACACCGAATACCAAGCCAGAAAGATCAGAAAACAGTAGCCTCCTTCGCAGTCTTGTGCTCCAATGAGCGCGGAAACCTTCTCTCCGTGGCAAAAGTCCCTTGGCAGCAAATCGTCCCTCGCGCCGGCATATTACTCGCGTCGCTCACAGAAAAAATTACGCCCACGCCCAACAAGACTGCGAAGGAGGCTAAGAAAACAGTGTGACTCAGCCCAGACAAGTTTGTCATGAGTTTTCAGGAAGCTCTGGAATAATGGCAGCCATATTGTTCGTAGAATGTCAAAGGTCAATGTCAAAGAAGGTCAAACAGAGTCATGGCCCCAGTCTCGGTTAAGTGATGGGCCATGATTTAAAAAGCCTCTTTCATCCCTATCATGAATTCCTGTTGGTCTGATTTTCAGGTAAAAGCTGGTCCGGATGTTAGTCTCGGTCCGCAGCACCGCAACACTGGGTCAAAGGTATCCGGTAAACGATGTCGGCCCCCGTCTCGGTTAAGTGATGGGCCCTGATTTAAAAAGCCTCTTTCACCCCTATTCTTACTTCCTGATGTTATTTCCAGGTAAAAGCTGGCCCGGATGTTAGTCTCGCTCCGCAGCACCGCAGCGTGAGAAGCACGGACCGCAGGTGCCCCAGTCTCCGGGCGCGGCTCGTGGCCTACGACCGCGTCACGCGCAACCTGCGAGCCGAGGCTAAGGCCGAGAAGGAGTACCTACAGATCCTGGAGAAGGAGAGGGGCATCCTCAACAAACAGTTCAAGGACTGTGCCAGGTAGTAGTAGTAGTAGTAGAAGTAGTAGTATAGTAGTAACGTTACATGTAGTAGTAGTAGTAGTAACGTTACATGTAGTAGTACACATGTACATGTAGTGGTAGTAGTAGCAGTAGTACATGTAGTAGCAGTAGTAGCAATAGTTGTAATAGTAGTAGTACATGTAGTAGTAGTAGAAGTAGTAGTAGTAGTAGAAGTAGTAGTAGAAGTAGTAGTAGAAGTAGAAGTAGAAGTAGTAGTAGTTGTAGTACATGTAGTAATAGTAGAAGTAGTAGTAGTAGTAGTAGCAATAGTAGTAGTAGCAGTAGTAGCAATAGTAGTAGTAGTAGTAGTAGTAGTAGTAGTAGTAGTAGTAGTAGTAGTAGCAGTAACCATTTTTCGTCAGAATTTTGGGCCTTTTTGCTCCATGAATGTCGATATAATTTGGGGCAGTGTTGTTTCAAATTAGGACGTAGATAAATGACTAGAATATTGACTTTGGAATTCTGTTTCCAAGCCTTTAACACTGGATGTCTTTAACACGTTGTTTGAATCTCTCCGTTTGTCGCAGATATTTTGACTACATCGTGCCTGACTACAGCTGCGGGTCGCTGATGCAGCTAATCCTGAAGTACGACACCAGGATAGGTTTCTCCGAGCACCGCCTGTTCCAGCACCACCAGGACCTGGACTGGCTGGACGTGCAGAGGGACATGACCAGGGAACAGTACGAGGCCTGCACATACCGCAGGTTATATATTTTCCATAATTCCTTTGAACCTATTAGCCCCTAAAATGTCGAACCACAAAGTTATCATCAATGTGAACAGATAATTCGCCCACTTTCGTTCTGTTGCACTTGGCTTGCCGCCACCGCGAATGTATAGTTCTGCAACTTGACACGTCCATTTTTCGCGAACTTTTGCTACGGTATACGTATATACCGAACTGTTGGAGACGCTTTTTCTTTTGTATTCACAGGTGGGCAGACTCACGTGCACGTAGAGGGTGACATGCATCTACGGGCAACAACCAGGCCTCTCATAGACAACAGACTCTTTACCGCGTCTGGCAATATTTTGGCAACCTGCCTGAGCTGCAGCACTTCACATTCAAACTGTCAGAGGGCGCCCCTGCACCGTCAATGGAAGGCACCCTGGGTGTTGTTCTTGCACCCAAACCCTACCAGATTTGCGCCCTTCCAAGAGATAATGAGAGCGTTGTTTTGATACTTTTAAACTTATTCTCAGATTATACATAAAGGAATATTTTGCTTATAATATACATGTAGCAGGAAAGGCGTTTGATTTAGAAAAACCTTGGTACCGTAAGGAACATTTGTTTTATTTTGCTTGTCTTTTATTTTCTATTTTCTTCTTGATACCCGGTAGCATATATGTTAACGTTTCAATCATTTAATTATCTTTTTAAAGAGACATTTATCGATGGGGAAAGCGCACTGATTATACAAATGTGATATAAAACATAAGCGTCTCTAGCATCCGTTCGGACGCTGACCTTCGAAGTTCGAACTATGACAATTGTTTTTCCGTGCTGTGTGTCCTTTAGGCGAAAGCTGTGCTGTACTTTTCAATCATACTTAAGAGCTGACATGTTCAAGATGACACATTAAATGTCCGTGACGTTGAATCTTCCATATCAAAGGCAAAGAAAGTCACTCTTCATTTTAGACCTCTGTACACCCCTCTCCGTAAAGTAGGAGAATCCGAGGTCAGTCACTGGGTCAACCTGTCCCATGACAGTGATGCAAGCAAAACTTTTATAATATCGCATTTCTTAGCTATATGCTGTAAGAAATGGAGTCAGTTGTGGCTTTTGTGAGCAGTTTGCTGGCTAACCTAACCCTCCAGTCCGCTCTGGTACTGGTCCTGGTCTTTTTGGCGGCCTACTGGCTACTGGGCAGCGGTGGACGGCCGAAGAACCTCCCGCCAGGGCCGAGAGGGCTGCCCCTGCTCGGTAACCTGCTCAGTTTTCGCCCGAGCCACCTGTTACAGAACCTGACGGTCTGGAGGCGGCAGTACGGGGATGTGGTCTGTGTGAGGATCGCCAACAGACTGGCTGTGGTGCTCAATGGGTAGGTCTTACACACGTACGCAAATCACGTATACAACAACAGTTTGGGGGCCGGGGGGGGGG